GGTAGACTCCTGACCTAGCTGCCTTTTGAATGGAAGGGTATTTCTTCCTTTCAGACCAAGTTTGATGCGTCTAATACTTAAGAATTAAACTTTGTCCTATTCTTCCCAACCAGATAATCTGTTCAGAGAACTTGAGCTGCCCCAAAGTAGCTTGCAGCATATTATCATGTTGCTTTTCTGTTCAAGACAATAATCTACCAAGGACAATTTAGCAAATCCTACAAGTTTATTGGAACAGATAAATTTCATTTGCAGACCAAACTACTTTGCTGTTGCACTGATTTCCTGAAGCTGTCTCCTTCACGCCAAAGTCAACCTGTCCTTAGAACAGATTAAAATGTCTGTGGTGGTCTACAATGAGTATTTTCATGTCGAAGATTTTTATTCTATAGATCAGTGATTTACATGTTGAGATTATATTTCTATTAAGAGTGTGGTTTATAATGTATCTGGGATAATTAAACCTGTCTTTAACTGGGTAAAAGCCTCCATGTTAACATGACTAAGAAAAAAGCCCCAGCAAACCAGAATCCAGACACAGGGCTGTATGTTCTTTGTGAGGCACTAATAATCTGTTAGTGACTGCAAATTTATCTTCTCTTGTGCTTGTTATCAAGTATTCCCAGATGTGTATGTATTCATAAAGTATAAATTAAAATGGCTTTAATACTAGCAACAAATTCACAGAGTGCAAGGACCATAAGGCACGGTATTTTTCCCACATCAACAACAGAATACAGAAATATTCATAAAATAAAATATAAAAGCGAATAATCTTCCTGTCTGAGTAATATATTGGTTCCTAAGAACATAACGATACCAGACAGAAAGAAGAAATCACAATAACAAAACCAAATACCGCCGCATTATTTGGTTAATGACGCCCATCTCGAGGAGCAGCGCCCGTGCCTCAGCACATTAATCGCTCTCATGTACATTTGGGCTGAGCTGAGTCCTTAAGAAATTGCATCGCCTGATGGCGAGTGACTTGGCATCTCACTCGCCGTGTCCAAGGAAGTGCTCTGCGGGCGTGTAGCATTTCTATGTGACAAGTGTCTGGCAGTCTGACAGCCCTTTCTTGCCCTGTGTCACGTCAGGTTCAGTCCCGGGTCGCCGCCACAGCTGGCCGTCCCCTCAGACTGCCGTGCATGCCCTCTGCCATGCCCGTCTGCCGCAGACCTGCTGGCAGAGTCCCTGGCTTGTCAGGGGGGAGGAAAGCCATCTCCAGGACTGGAGCTTCCAAAACCTTGTATCGTCACCGCAGCAGTGCGGGTGAGTGACCTCTGTGCTGAGGGCTGGTCCCCGAGGGGCACAGCCCGACGGGGGGCACCGCCTGTCCCATGTGCTGTCCCCATCCCTCCTTCCCTGCCCCGGCACGCGCTGGGCACGGGGCAGGGGCAGCAGCTCTGGGGACGACTCCTGCCGCTGCTTCCCATCGCGGAGTGTGTGACCCCTCCTGCCTGTGAGGGACCCCAGCCACCCTCTGCGGGGGACCCCGGCCAACTCTGCGGGGGACCCCGGCCACCCTCTGAGGGAAACGGCGAGCAGCCGTGCCGGGACCTTACGCCAAGAGAGGCAGCATTTGCTTTGTGCCTCCTGAAAAGGTGTGTTACAGCCCAGTTCAGGTAAAGACCCGGACGGTCGAAGCAGCCATTTTCTCCCCTTTTCTGATTTTTTTCAGAGGCAAAGTTGTGGGGTTTGGGTTTCTTTATTTTTTGGAGTATTTTGTTGTTTTGGTTTTTCCCCTATACCTAGGGAAGTAAATGTCTTCAAGTGATAAACACGTTAAGAGCCAAACAACAGATATGATTAATGACTGCTGACATTTCTTCTAGCACCTTTCCCTTGCTTTGTGTCCCTGATTCAGGATGCTGAACGCTTTGGTAAACACCAGTGCTTCAGGAGCCATGTTTCTATTAGGGAAAATAAGTTTCATAGTTAGGGTTTTGGTAACTCGTGAGCGCAGCTGAATTTCTGCAGTGTGGAGGGCAAGGACGGAAATGTAAGCACATTCAGGCTCTTAAAAGAATTATTTCTTTGTTTCCTTTTTGCTTCTGAAGTCTCAGAGCAGCCCAAGCAGTGCTGCTCTTTCTAGGATCAGAATGTCTTTTGGTTTTTAAGCATAGAGGCTTGACACTCCAACCAGAGAATGAGGGGAGGGACGCTGGGAAAGGTTGTGTCACAGACTGTCTTCTTGCAGTCCTAGAAAGAGGGAGGGTGGGAAAAGAGTTAAAAACAAACCACCAGCCATGGTTTACTGCACTTGAGCAGCACTTGCATGATACGTGCTCTGAAGGCTTGTCCAGGTGCAGTCCCCGAGGCACGGGGACGCCTGAGGTGTTCGCACCGTGTGGCCAGGGGCTCAGCCTGGCCCCGCCCTGCTGCTGATGCGTAGTTTTATCGTTTTCTATTCCCAGACAGCTGCTCGCGGAGCTTGTTGAGCTAGGCTTGATGGTATAAATTGGAGCTTGGATATCTTACTGTAAAGGTCTGTCCTGTTGGCCATCTTCCATCGCGGTGGGGGTAAACGAGCGTTGCCTGAGGTGCATGTTACGCTGCTCGCTGAAGTTGCTTTCCAGACATGTGAGATGTTGGATATAAATGACCTGGCAAGTTTACACCCTCTCCAGTTGACCATGTTTCCCAGGAAGGCCAGAGATACCCTTGACTCCCACTTAAGTATAAGCCACTGCAAGATGAACTAAAACGCTTTTTTCTATCTTTTTTAAGGAATAGTGTGTTTTGTATGCACTTGAGAAAGTGGCTTTTACCTACGTTTGTGAACTCAGTGAGGAGATTGCAGCCTGCAAATGGAAAACATGTAGAGAACAGGTATAGCCCAGCTAGCAAAGGAGGGTTGTGTTTTCAGCTATTCTGCATATACTTAAAAAGATGATACTGCATGATCTTGCCTCATGTGTGAATATCCAAAGCTCCTTGGAGACAAGATTACGGCGCTTTGATATCTGTCATCATTTTTTAAAGCAAGCAGTTGTTGACTGCTTCTTGATCTAGTTTACAGAAGGATGCAAGGTGTGAATTGCATGCAGATAAGTATTTGCAATTTCACAAATACAGAAAATTAGAGGAAAACTCCCAAGTTCCAAATCTCTGTAAATACAGCATGTTGAATGCACTTTTGATATTTCTGATCTCTTGCTGTTATAAAAATTACATCCATGTGTCAGATGCACCAGGGGTGTTTCTATACGATACTCGTACAAGAATGCGAGAATACAGATAAGAAATGGTGATACAGAATGTATGTATGTTTGGTGTTGTTACGTATTTAGTACGAAAAGGAAAGATTGATCGGGGTGTCACTAGACTTGCATAATGTGCCTGTCCTAACACCATGCTAATAACGCATTTATACCGCATAGCATCATCTCACTTCTGTTCTTTTGAGTAGCATATTGTGCCTTCTGCGTGAAGATAGATACGGGGTTTAGCAACTATTAGACAGATTTGTATGCAAAGTGAACTAAGCAAGCCAATACTCGGTGCCTTCTGCTGGAAGGATTGACAGGTTGCAAAAGGTGAATCGCTACCAGCATTTTAAACAGAAACCCAAATATTTCCCATTCTTGTCACAGGTACCAGGGCTGACAATTCGTACAATAAAGTCTTTTAAATGACTGTTGATTTATGTTGGAAAATCTTTTAACTTTGCTGTATGGTTCTTAAGTGGACTTTCGAAAGTTGCAGTATGTCAGTTAATGGGACTGAATGTTTCACACAGCTCCCAGTAGTACCTCCTACCCCAGGCACGAGCCAGCACATCCCTCTTACTCTGTCTTTCTTGTAACCCTCCTGCTGTTTCCTTGCTGCCTTCCTCTCTGCAAACGCTGCTCTTGGAAACTTTGTCAAAATCATGTGTTAATGTGTTCTGTATTATGGAAATGTGGCTATAGATTGAAATGAAGATAAACACAAAATACTTTGCTTTTAGTATGTTTTAAAGGGAAATGCTCCATTTTCCCTAGGAAAAAAAATCCTTCATTGTTCTTCATAATGAAATTCTCCCATGGAAGAGAAAAATATTTCAAGTCTAGCATAGAAGAGAAATGCGTTTTGCAGCCGTTCTGAACGTCTGGCCTTCCACAGTTTCGGTTTGGAATTGCAGCTAGTACTTCTTACACACTCAGTCCTGAAAAGTCAGTTAACATTTTTTCTGTTGCCCTTTCCATGCAGGATGGAGAGTTTGTTATTCTTTAATCACATACCAACTCAAACGTACTTCCTACCAACTTAAAATTAGTGTTTTATATAAATGTAAACCTGCTTTGCACTAAAACATGTCTGTTAGACATATCATGTGACATATCACCTACTTTGTCATGTGAAAAAAGGGTCCTGAAATTTTTTAAACTCTATGTAATTTCAGTCAATATTATAAAAATGTTAAAATTTTTGCTTCAGTTGTAAATATCTTGGAATTATTGCATCCTGTCTGTCAGATGGCTGAGCAGGGACCAGGGCCAGCTGAAGGCAGTTTTTCCCTTACACAGCAGGTAGCAGTTACGCAATCACACTGGGGGCAGGTGTGGCCACTGGGCTGTAGTGAGAGCTACAAAACTCAGTAAAAACCTTCCATTCAAGCCATTAGCTTTTGATCTCTGTCAGAAAAAATGAAGCAAGAGCTTTGTCTAGCCAATGATAGGAGTGAGTACGTTGAGAGGAGTGTCAGGAGGAAATGAAATTGCTGTCAGTGGCTGGCTGGAGGCACCTCAGTTGGGTGTAGATAATGAGTAAAGATGTTTGTGTCCTTCCCCAAATACGCTTCCCTTCAGGGGCCGCTCAGCGCCCCAAATTCCTCACCTAGCATTGCCCTCTGAAGGGGTTTCTGTTTGACCAGTACCCCCAGAGTGGGCCCCGTGTCCTGCAGCTCCGTGTGAGTACTGGGTGCTGCCCGTGATGATCAAGGAGACATTTCAGTCTATTTTCTAACATTTCTGTCTCTTTTTTCTTTCTTCTTTTACATGCTTTCTTGGGTATAGCAGACCATTTAGGAATTGAATTCATGGGTAAGTTTTCATTTCTCTTCCTTTCACTTGCTAATATTTATCTTGGTGCCTTATCCCAAAGCACATGGACATTAATGGGAAGACTCCTGTGATCTCTATCAGGGGATTTAGGATTGGGGTCCTGTTATATTTACTGATCACATTTGAAATTATATGAAGATTTAATTTTTCTCTTGTACACTGCTGGGGGCTTAAAGACTGCATAATGATGTTTTGGTATTTTACTGGCATTTAATGAAATATAATATAAAGATTGTATGGCCATATGAAAGTTGAGGAATAATATTTTATATGAGATTTTAGGAAAGAATTAATGCCTATCTTCATGTAAAGGAAAGTAAATTTAAAATTAGAATGATTTTCTTTTTCAGAATTTGATTTTGATTACAACCTTAAATGTTACTAGGTTTAATATGAACCTTCTCATTAGCTTTTAACAGACAAGTCAGGGGAATACTTTTTTAAAAAGGGAAAAAAATCTGTGATTCTATGAAATAAGTTAACTTCAGGTTAGGAAAAAGTGAAAACAGGAAAGAATAATTGCTTCTTGCAATTTTGGAAAGGAAAAGATGATGCTCTATTGACTCAGTTGCTGCCCTGTGATGTATTCGTAGCCTGATGGAATGATGGGCTTAACAGGTCACTGCTTCACCTCTGAGCTCGTGGTCTGTCGGGAGCGTGGGTAATTCCCTGTCCTTAGCAGAGTTGCTGCATCATTTGTGTAAAAACAGCTTGCATAAACCATTAACTGCAACTGAAAATGGCATAATAAAAACCTTGCAAATTTATGTTGAAGTCACTAAAAAATTACTTTTAATGTGTGTCCTTTCCCTGTGTTGAATATTTTTTTTTTTTTGATAATATGATAGCCTAGTGATTGTAAGTGGTGATATGGGGATTTTGTTGACAAGTTGGGTATAAGTTGTCATGAAACCAGTATGGTGATGAGTATCAGCTGTGTGGCAGGCTGCAGTAGCAAGAGGACAGCCAGCAGGTTGAGGGGTTTTTTTCTACTGCTTTTGGACTTGTGTGGCATAGCTAGAGAATGGTCCCTCCTCTAGAAGAGTTCTCTAGAGAATTATGCTGTGATCTCCAGAAGTTTAGCATTTCCCTTCACTTTATATGAAACTTTAAACGTACCAATGGAATCAAAGCAAGTGTTTTCACAGACTCTGTGGACAAGCGCAGCTGAGAAAGGGTTACTTTAAAGGCTCTGCATAAATATCCCAGTTCCACTGCTTAACTGAAATTGTAAGCAGCAGTCTTGAGGCATATGGATTGAAGGACAAGCATAGACATAGAAGAAACAGGATAAGGAGTATGTATAGGATTCTTAGAGTGAGTCTTTCCATAGGAAGCAGGAAAGTGTTACCCAGGAGGCAAAGCTGACTTTTTAACTTTATTTTGAGCATTTTAGCTTCTTCTGTTTTTTTTAAAGACATCTCTTTAAGACTTGAAATAAAGCCAACCCCTGAAGTCTTGGCTCAGAGTAGTCTTCTCATATGAGTAGCGTTCTGATTGTCTTATTTAATATTGCAACAGATTTTGATGATATAGAAATTAATGAAATCATGTGTCTTGAGCATGAAAATATTATGACAGCAGTCTAAAATGAGGCTTGAGGTCGTTTTCTGTGGGATAGAAAAAAAAACAAGTTCCAGAATCATACTCAAAAGTGAAATGCTTTTGCTTCTTAAACCTTCCTTCAGACTTTTTGAAGCACATATGGAGTCATCAGTGCAGACATAGCAAAGTACAAATCCTCACCCTGTACACAGAGAGCAGGTGACAGCATATACCCGTGGAATCAGGGCCACTTCTGCAAAGCCTCTCCCATGAGTTTACTTCTCTAGTGTAGATAATAATTGCAATTAGTGGGAAAAGTCTTTTCTAATTATGAAGAATAACAACATATAGGTGCTGCAGAGCTTAGCCTTGTTTGTACATGATTCAGAGAACACTCTTTCTAATGCTTTTATTCCATTTGTGGTCTCAGTTGCCTTAAGAATTCCATTTCCATTGTCATCTTCTAGAAATTTTGCTTGAAAAGCCTGTAAGCCTGGATTCCCTGTGAAGGTTGAACTCCTTCCACAGTAGGTAAAACTAAAATCTCATGTAGATAGGAAAATCTGTCTGTGGAGGTGCCCCGGGGGACAGGTGGAATGTACACGAACTGCACATCTAGCTTCGTGTGCCTTTGCCAAGGAAAATAGATGAGTGTAGTAGGTTTTTTTGCTAGGCTCTCAAGAACCACTGGGGTGTGTATACCTACCTACCCAGCCCTTCTGCTGTCCTGTGAGGGATCTGTTGCCCCTGGATTTGTGTATCCTCCTGTGAACCAGGTGACAGAGTCTTCCTCCAGGAGCTCCTGTGGCTGCCAGTCCCGGAGCCCAGCAGCCAGAGGCTGTGGACTTTGGTTTTCCACGTCCCGCTGAAATCCAGCTCCCACCAGCTCCCTACCTCTCGCGTGCAGGACTTAGTGAGCAGGAGTTACGCATTCGGTTTACCCACCACAGTGACTGCTGTGTTCACTGCTGTCGTGTCCTCACACCCCTTCCCTTTTTGGATATTGTTAGGTTTCTGTTCCACACAACGTTGAATATTGTGCATTCCCAAACACGAATACCTGATACTTCAGTGTTGTTGCTGGCTTTGGTCTGCGGTGTCTGCATCTTTGTGTGGATAGCAGAGAGAAATGCAGGCATATTGACGTGGCATATCTGTTCTAAAACGCTGCAAACATAACAATTAATGTAGGGTTCAGATGTAATTAAGTGAAAACCAGGTGTGTGTTCAAGGAACACTGTGTCCTTAAAAATGTGGATTTAAATATTTTGATTAGAGTGGCCAAGCTTTATGGAATTTCTGGTGATAAGGAAATGCTTTATACTTTCTAGAACTTAAAAAAAAAAAAAAAAAGGTCTTGTGAGAGCTAGATTCAATTTCCATCTCTGATGCGATCTTCCAGAAAGGCTTTGGGCAAGGTATTTTAATCTCTCTGTGCCTTAGATTCTCAGTTACAGTAATTTTTGTCAGGCTTTCTGCTTTTAGATTCCTCAGCTCTCTGGGGAATATCTTTCAGTAGTGTGTAACACAGAAACTATTTCATCCTTGGAAGGGGGTGCAGACCTCTCTGCCTCCTCGCCTGTGCTCCCTGGCTGCTGCGGGGGCAGCACTGGACGGGCAGGGGGCAGTGCACCTGCTCTGGATTAGTGCACACGCCTGCCTGCTTCCCCGCCTCACCCGGGATGATGCATGCAATTTTATTTAAATTTCCAACGCAAAGGTAAGTAAATATTATCACAATGTTCCTACAAACTGCAAAACTACTCGTTGTGTTGTTTCCTGTCAGTTGAGAACAGGCTGCCTGTTGGTAATGCTCATGTGAGGCACCGCGCTTGTGGAAAAAAGAAAGATTGAAAGAAGCAGCTTTTATTCAATGAGAAATCTAAGTGATGTATTGTTAGCATTAGATAGCATGGGGATATCTACAGCTTATTATCATTTTTTGACTCAAGTGGTTAATTGCACTTGCAGGCTGAATGGTTTATTTTTATCTAATGGGAAATTTGGAGATGAAACCAAATACCTCTGACAGCCAGCGCGGCTGATCGGGTTACTCTGGTGCTACAGGTAGCAGTTGAAAGCTGAGTTGTGGAGACTGACCTCATGCACGTGGTCCCAGCTGCAGAACGAAAACATTGCTTTAACTGCCAGATAAAAAGAGATGCAAAAGCCTCAGAGTGATCTTTGGAAATAAGTATTCTGGGCAAAGAGTCAGTGCCTGAGACAAGGAGCCGTCAGTTTTACTCGTTTCTTACACTGAGAATGAGTAGAGTTAAGGTGTGTTAAGGGATGGAGCATGAGGGTGAGTGAGTATGGGAATACCCTGCTACCATACACCAACAAACATGACTACTGCAGCAGTTCGCCTACACTGCCTAATTGATGATCCAGAAGCTTTGTCTTTTGTTCTGTAACTAATTTATGACGGATACAGTTGAAAATAAAATACCCTGAGAAGGTACAATAGGCAGGTTGCTACAGTTTTGGTGGAAGTAGTCATTACATGGAATAGTCCTCGTTCTTAGGCTGCTTAGCAGCTAAACAAGTATCAGTGGCATAAACAGGATGTGATAACCTGAATCTCCCCACGCGTGAATGGCAGAAATAATGCAGCAGTTGCTATATTTAGTCACTACATTTAACTTGCTGGTAACTTGGGCCTTACATAGGAAATGAATTATTTTCCTTAGAACTAGTTTATCTTTTCTGGAAAAATCAGAAGTTTCACTGAAGTCAGTGGAGTATGAATGATATATAATACCCTTGTAAGCAGTGAATCATTAAATAGCATTTAATTGAGCAGAGCAATAAAGTAACTCAAGAACAGGATCTTATTAAAATTTATGTATCTCCTTGCAAGGACTACAATGTGAAATGTGTTCAGTTTCCTGTACTCTGAGCAGTTGTTACTGTTGGAGATGGTGCATGCTTTATTGTCACTGTGCTGATTCACGCTGCCTCGTCATTGCCATGATGGTTGTATGCCTGCGGCTCCAGGGATGCAGGATCCAGTTGACTAAATGGACTCTCTGACCTTGTGTCATGCACTGTAACAGATGCATTTGGATTTTTCCAAGCCACAGAAGTTGCTTTGGCTGATGGGCAGTATAAGCAAGACTGCAACCATTTAGTATTTTTCCTGTTTGTGAAGAATAAAAAGGCGAAGTTCATTAGTTCGTGCCCAGCTCACAAAATGTGCAGCTGGTCAGCTGTCCCCTGCAACTCAATGTCTTGTAGCAGCAAACAGACAAGGAAAACAAATCGGCAGTGCTTGCATGGGTGGTCCTCGCCTAAGTTACTGTTTAGCAGCTCTTGATCTGTTCAAAAACCCTGTAACACTCTTGTCCTGCTGGAAGAGGATAAATGTTCAGTGACATGAGCAAAGAAAGTACATGTTCTAAAGGATATATGTTTAAAAAATAAAGTTCCATTTT